ATTGAAGCAAAATCAACAAAATCAGAACTATGAACTGGACCCCTAAAATCAGTACATCTTTTAACAATAGTATCCCATTGTAGGACAATATGCAGGTCTTATCTAGTAATATTAAAACTCCCTTTCATCATAACCATGTTAGGATGTTGTATTAACAAAGTGCCTCCAACATTCAAAAGATGTTGGAATCTGTTAAACTGACCATTGAAAACACGTGCTTGTATCTTTTTGCCTTATAAGTAAAATAAATAAAAAATAATAATACATATAAAGAATGTAACTAACCTGTTCATCCATAACAATTAATTAAATGGACATTACTTCTTTCTTTCCTTTTGGTACAAAATTCCACATGCTCAAGATTTTGACCTTAAATGTGGTATCTAGTGTTACCACTCCAATGTTGTCCAAGTAGGTGATTTCCACGGTAGACATTACTCTAAAAGGAAAAGGTGTAAATAGAAAATTAGAGAAAAAATATTGAACAGTGGTATATTATGAAAAACAAAATGACCTTGTGTATATAAATATTCAAAAATGCTCATTTATTATGATAGTTTTACAAAAAGGGCCCTTTTATTAAAAATATATTTTTAACAACTTTTTAAATAATGGTCCTTGTGAAAAAGTTGTACAGGGGAATTGGTCAACAATATTCAAATCTGAAAATGGGAAAATGCAGTTTTTTAAGTACAATGTTATAATTTCCATAAAAATAACCTTTTTATCCATGATTTATATGACAAAAATATATCTGAAGCTTAAAATTATATTAAAACAGTATAATCTACACACAATAACACAATTTCAAGAAAAAAATGTATTGTGTGTTAAAGAACACATAATAAAACAACAATTAAATCAAGAAGGAACATAAACATAGATACAAACACACACATAGAGATAAAAATATTAAGATAAACACACACACAATAACTTAGGAATCGAAATAAAAACAGTGAAATGTAGTTGCTATTTATTGATATTTATGTGAAGTAAAATACTTTCGATTATAAATTGTAGCAGAAAAACGAATTTGAAGTGGAAAATATGTTCAGTTACAACCATGCAGTTCTAATAAACAGATGATAGAAAGAGATGGAAGAAGAAACATGAATGAAGAAATATAGAACAAAAAAAACATACCTGAGTTTTGAAGTTGAAGCCAAAGCCGAGAATACAAAGAAGAAGAAGGAAAAGGCAGAAGATAATGATGAACTGTGAATGTTATTCAATTTGTATTGCGGGTATATATTTGTATATTAAGTGTCACACCCCGGAACTGTTGGCAGAAACATTCTGGGGCGAAGAACGTCATGTATAGCATCACAACCAATGAATAACAGCAATTATAGCAACACAACCATTACATTGAATATTCGAAAGAAAATTTTTACATTTGTTTGAAACTCTGTTTGAATTAAATTCATTAGTTTTTCAAAATAAAAACTTAAAAACTCTAAATGCTTCGGTTCCTCGAAAAATCCAGCGAGTACCTGTCTACTGATTTCTCGAGAATACAAGCAGTTTGAAAAATATCAGCATAAAGTTGGTGAGTTCATAAGCAGTAATTTGTAATGAAAACTTATTGATGAGCGAGCCGAAATTTTTGTGTAATTTCAAGAAAATCCGATATTTTCTTTAGTGAAAAACGGAGTGTTATCGATTTCGTATACAACCATGAATGTTCGTTTCTGAAAAACCGTAGTTATATGCGAAAATACTACCTCATGTGGCTAGCTAAAGCTAAACATGAAGTATAAGTATTTAATATGAAAAACTATAGCATAAATGATCCGGTTTTGAAAACCCTAGCTCGGCCAGTATGCATAATGTGTTTAGTTCTATTTAGTATAAATAAAACTACTGAAGAAAACCAGGTTGGTAAACTATCGGTGATTTATACATAATGTGAGTCGTATAACCATGTTTGATATGACTAGTGACATTTCCAATGTTCTTCAGGCGTTGATGTTAAATGGCATTTGTACATCTCAGGTGTGCCCGCCTAACTGTAGCTAGCAGTCCAAATGTGGGATTGTCAGTCCCAAATAGATCTATTCACAAACCTCATGCTCTCCCTCCAGGAGATTCTGGTTATACATTGGTAGGATTTATCCCTGTACACCTAAGGGTACAGTAGTGAAGTAGCGCCACAAGGTATCGTACAATCTAGTTTACATGTAATGCAGTAGCGTTCTACCGTAGTGAGAGGCCGAATGTATACCGCATATAGTGATAAGTTATAGTTATGAAAATCATGATAAAACAGTGATATAAACTGTAAACGGTTTCTGTTCCTGTGCATATGTTTAGTACAGAAAGTTTCTATGCTTGATAAGTTTTTAGAGAAACCCCAAACTATACCGATTATAGTTTTCATGTATAATGTAGCGAATAGCGTATCCGTAAAAACTATGCAATTTTAGTGAAAACGTCCCTTATGCTCGACATAGTACAAAAGGGAAATAAAGCATGAAATTTGCATAAGTTTTATGTATATTCCTGAAAACATTTATGTTTAGCTTATAAGAAAACATTTATGTTTAGCTTGTATCTCCCCCCCCCCCCCCCACCCCCACCCTGAAAACCTTAAAAATGCGGGAAAATGTAGGGGTATGAACTCACAGTTGTTGCTTGGGGTTGTTGACCGAAAAGAAGATTGCTGAGTTGTTGCACGCAACACTTAACGAAATCCTATTATCAAATAAAGACGTATATGTATCTAAATTAGCGATTTCGATAAATAAAGTGTCAGAAAACACTTGAATTTGGTTGAGGAATGTTACCGAGACTTGCTTGAATCGAAGAAATGGGTTTTCTGCCAAAAGTACTACCAAAAAGGTGTTTACGGCCGTGAACAAGAGTTTACGGTTTCTAAAGACTTGGCGAGTTTACGGCCGTAAACTCAAGAACAGAGTTTACGGTCTTTGAAGGTTGGACCGTAAACTCAAGAAGAATGATGTTTAGATGTTGATTTCGACGAGTTGAGTGGTTCCAGACGTTCCAAAGGGCTCCAAACGTGATTTTCTCGATGTTTTTCGGAGTTTGAATGTGTTTTGAGTGTTTACGGTCGAGATTCTTAGAGAGAAGAGGAGAGAGTGTGGTCAAAAACGTCCTAATGAAGTCGGAGGCATCATATTTATAGGGGTGAGAATGGGGTCCACTCGTCACTGACCGTAAACGTGTTTACGGCCGTAAACGAGTTTACGGCCGTAATCCCATTTTAGGCCGAAAATGTTGTTTTCTCGAGATTTTCGGGTTTCTGCGTGATTTTTGGTTCCGATTCGTAAATAATATAATTAAATATAACTAGATTATTTTATTAAACCAAAATTTTGACGAAAAAGTTAACGAATCTTGAAATTTCTTTAGTGGAAAAATGTGTAGCAGAAACGGAAAAAGTTTCGGGTTATCACATTAAGTATAAGCAAATCGTCCCAAATCTAGATAATATTAAGAGATATTATCGTTATCACGTTAAATACAGAATTGATTGTTGGAATGCTTAATTTGTGAATGTAAATATCCATATTAAATGTTGGATTATTAGCACTAGAGATTTTACTTAATTGTAATACCGTATTTACCATATTTAATAAGTTTTTAATTTTAGAAAGTTTGAAATTTTCTTGAGAATGTGGATGTCGTATTTGAATTGAATTTTTGAATTGTAAAAAAAATGTACACGTGGTAACACCTCTATTAAATCAACAGTTGGCAAAATTTTAGTATAGTCACACGTGGCTTATGGAGAAGGAAGAACTACTATGTTTAATGGTTTTTTTTTTTTAGAATTTGGAATTCCGTATACTTTCTATATCTGTAGATACGAATTAATGAAGTGTTAGATGTTTGAAATTGAGAAAGAATTTTGGAGCGCCTAATAATAACTTAGAGCATAGCTGACTTATTCAATTTTTGTCAATTTTACTTAGTTAGCCTTTGCAATACTTGGTCACATGTAATCTACGATCATAAAGATGCATTGTTAACAAATCTTGATTTGTAATTTTGTGGTTTCCATAAAATTGTTTATTTGTTATAAAATTTACCTTTTTAGATTATCTTCGGGTGTATTGTTATTTTTTATTTATAAGTTAAACAACAAAAAATTTCAATATTAATATTGTTTTGAAGGTATTTACTATTTAGTAAAAGTGTAAAACTCTTTAAAAATATACGCAAGACGTTGTCATTATATTCAAGAAATTATAATAACAAATATTTTAACCTTTTTGACTTCTCAATAATTAAAAACTGAAAAACAAATACAACAGACTAACAAAAACAAAATATAAGATAAAAATGTAGTAACTCAACCAAAACAAAATATAAGATAAAAATGTAGTAACTCAACCAAAACAAAATATAAGATAAAAATGTAGTAACTCAACCACCGTTATGTTATGGGCATGTGAAGATTCATTATAAATTCTTATTCATTACTAAATATTTATATAAATACATATTGACGTATTGAAGGTCAGCATGGTGAAATAACTGCTTATTCATTATGGAAATGTAGAGGAAAAATGAAAATATACATCTTCAAATAAAAAAAACAAAATTCCTTTTCACACAACTTATTTTCTTTTTAAGTGGGACAGCATTATAAATTTGTTTTAAATCCAAAATAACCGACCTATAAATAGGTTAGTTTCCAAGTTACAAAATACTATCTTTCAAAGCAAATTATATTTCACTATTATTGGTTTATTTTTTTTATCTCTGTATCAAAGTTTGGTACCCAATCATACATGTTTCCGCGTAGAAATAATTGTTGAAGGGAACTATTTCGCACCCGTCGCTTAGCCCGGTAAATGACTAATATATATATATATATATATATATATATATATATATATATATATATATATATATAACACTTGCATTAATTCATATCGCATACGACACGATTTACAATCCACTCTGCGAAACACTCTTCTTGACACATACTCTACCTACAAATCAATTCCTAATTTTGTCATTAATAAAAACTAAGAATACAATCGACATGCAAAAGACCAACGTTTCATTCCAAAAACCTTCAAACAATAACCATCTCCTTCAATAAAACCTTTCTTAATCCGATTTTCCACAATCTCAAATGGCATAACACAATTCCACTCGTTACCCTTTCCAAAAAGCCGATTTCTCCAACTTCTATCATGTTTATAACCCATGTGATTCTCAACAAGCCACACTGGATTTCCCATACCCCAATCACTACTTCCAAATCTAACAATTTCTTGTTGTAAAAACCGACATCTTTGCAACAAAAATTCACCCATGGATTCATGATCATTAGAACACGCATGAGTAAGAGAAATGATACAATTTCTCCACAATGAGGATCCAAGTGAGCTTGTAATTAGCTTTAATAGATGTGAATCATTATGGTCCATTGTGTACATGTCTAACCTATCAACATAAAGCACAACATCTGGGGAGTGTTCTTGAATGAATCTTTTTATGTTTGAGAGAATTTTTAGGTTATAAGATCTTTCATAAGGGGAACATCGAAAACCTGGTGTGTCGATGATTTTGAGATGAATGTCATCTATGTTGCCAAGTATTTCTTGAACAGAAGATGTACATGGATTGAATGGATCTGTTGTGGCTTTGGTTTCTCCAAAAATGGAGTTTATAGTTGCTGTTTTGCCTACTCCGGTTTTTCCTATGACTAAAATGGTCAAATTTGAGTCAAACTTGGTGTTTCTGAGGGTAAGTCTGTGGAGAAAGGTTGAATCTTGTTTTGATAAACCAAGAAGATGAATGAGATTTAGTAACTTTGATTTTATTGGTTGGATTACTACCTGTGTTTCTTCTTCCTTTTCACTTAGGGCTTTCTTGGACTCATTTTCGATTTCAATTTCATTTGAGAGAATCTCTGCATCGATTCTCTGTGAATCTTCAATTTCAATTTCAGTTTCTGAATTTGGGAGAATCTCTGCATCGATTCTCTGTGAATCTTCAATTTCAGTTTCGTTTTCTGAATTTGGGAGAATCGCTGCATCAATTCTCTGTGAATCTTCGATTTCAATTTCATTTAGTGAATTTGAGAGAATCTCTTCATCAATTCTCTGAGAATCAACCACATTCAAGCAATCAGCTTTATGTTCCTCCTCCTCAATTGATTCTACTAAAATAGAATCCTTCATGGCAGTGATTAATCCATGGATACTATTGATACTATCATCAGAAAACATACCTTCAAACTGCGACTCTTTATCTACTTCAACCTCATCTTCATCACCACTAAAGATTCGAACTTTAGGGGATATAGTAACCTTCTGATCAATCCCATCAGCCGGAATCTCGCCTGAATCAAACGACCGGCCACTTTCCACGGAATCAATGTCACTGTCACAGTCTCTGGTCAAAGGAGCAACAGGCACACCCAAATTGATACGAAGATCAGCAACACTGCTACTTTCTTCACATGGGGTTTTCACAAGCGGCCTAAAAATGGCGGATTCTTCAAAATTACTACGCTCGCTAAGATGATTTCCATCTGGGTATTTCACGCAAGGGGTAGTAAATGAGTATTCTTTAACACGACAAGTTTCTATCGAAATTTCTTCATCTGAGTACGCTACAAAAGTTTCATCTTCTTCGTCATGAACAGTGGTATGCTCATCGCCATAACTACTGATATCAATACTGTTAGTGCTATTAAAGCTGCTAGTTCGTGAGTAAATCTGATCGTTGTTTGATAAATAGAATTCAGAATCTGAATCAATCGTAAGGGGAGCTCTAATGGGTACAGAAGAACCTGGTAATGAACTCGAAATATAAATCTTCGGGGGTGGGAATGGGGCGTCTTCTATTGAATCTTCATCCATGGAGCTTCGAAACGGAAATAAGGTAAATCGGAGAAGATAAAAAGATACAATTTTGGAGAGTAGTGCTTGTAAAACTACGATTTAGGGTTTTGTTTTTTGGGTTTTACAAGGAGTTTGGTGGTGTTTGCTAGGGGTTTTGTTTTATCTTTTTCAGATTACGAAGCAAAGGGTGTGGGGACGTGGGGTCTTTTGGCAGTAACGATGACACGATGTCGATAACCTTTTTGGTCGTATATGAATACGTACGAACATAGTACACCACTGATTGCTAGTTGAAAAATGAAAATAAATTAATATATCACGGTTATTTTGAGTATATTTTATAGCGATACGTTTATAACTTTAATATAACAACATCAACATTCAACTACCCATATCACATAATGGGATTAGAATGAGGTAACGAGTAGCTCCTTTAATGCAAAATAATAACTTGTAAACGGAAGTGAGTCAAAGTTAGGGGTGCTATTTTATAATACAATCACTATAAAAATATATGATACCAAATGAAATTAAGACGAAGTTGAAATTAGAATTTATGTTTGAGTTCAAGATTCAACAAAGAATTGACAGGATATTAACATATGGATTTTGTGTTCATCATGTTTCCCACGGTTGACGTGTTTCGTAAGAGTAATTTTGAATAAAATAAACAGAATGCTTATTTTATTTTATATTTATCGCGTTTGTCTTGGTGGTTGTTTTTATTATGTTTTAATTGTGTTATTTTTGTATTAGTAAAAGAAAACAAAACATCGTATCGGATCAGCTAAAACCAAGACACGACTGTTTAATTTGTCACCCTTAGTCAAAGCAAGGACAAAGAACATTGTTTGGTGTGTTTTAAATTATGTCATAATGTCAAACTAAGCATTTTGTGATTTCATGTTATTTTTGTTGTGCTTTTGGTTAAAGTACGAAAAAAAATGATTTGGTTTAGACATGCCAAAGATTCAAACCATAGACCTTATATGCAAAAAATTTCACTTCAACTATCAAGTTGTTGTGATTAAGTTTTTATGGTACCATACTGCCTCAAAATATGTAATTACTTATCCAAGCGGATGAGTCTAATAATTGATATGTAAAATTTCATACTCTCTTTGTCCCAAATTGATAGTTCAATTTTGATTTTTGAAATCTTTTTTCTTCAACTTTGATCTTAAATATTATTATTTGTGTTTTATATTACTTGATAAAACTTAAAATAATGAAAAAACATTTAAAATACAATCCATTCATATATTTTGCATCAAATGTTATCTATAAAAAACAAAAATATTTAAGATCAAAGTTAAAGAATCTATAAAAAAACAAAATTATTTAAGATCAAAGTTAAAGAAAAAATACTTCAAAAGTAAAAGTGGACTATCAATTTGTGACGGAAATAGCATATAATATTGAATATTTGAACATTGATATGATTTAAATATTACTACTTTTTACAATTAACCTGGTATGTAATGCACATACTAAAAGGAATTAACTTGGATCACAAATAACTCAACACAAAAATCTTCTAAATGTTAAAAAAAAAAAAAAAAAAAAAATTAAAAAAAAAAATTAGAGGGAGCAGGGGACAAATGGGTAACCCAAGAATCCGACCCGAGAATCCTGAATCTGCCAAGTGCCAGCATCAAAGGAAGCGTGCAAGCCACCATATCTTCCTAATCCAAACCAAACACCAACCAACAAATGGGATCAACTGTTTGTATATCTCCGGCAATCTTCACCGCAGTCGCTCCCATTAAACCCTCTTTATCACGCACCAGAACCCTGAATACATCAATCTCCTTCTCTACTAACCCCAATCGGAATTTCACCTTCAAACACATCTTTTCTTTATCATCATCATCGATGGCTTCCTCTACTCTCCATGTCATGGCTTCCTCTTCCACTGGTACGTCAAATACTCTCTCTCTCTCTCTCTCTCTCTCTCTCTCTCTCTCTCTCTCGCTCTCCCTCTCTCTCTATTGTTATTTTTCTATCTATTTAGTACCAAATCTTTCTATCTCGCTGTAGATTCGTGGATTTATGATTGATGAAGAGATGCAATGATAATTTGATTAGAATTGTCGTACGCACATTTCAGTGTAAATGTGTAATATACCTCATCCTTGTGAAATTGTTAGGTACTTTCTTTGCAATGTGATGATCAATTTCTGTAATTGAGATTCCTGTGGCGAGACCAACTCTTCAAAAGAATCTGATTCCATGATCAGTAGGTCGTAAACACACATTGAATTTTTGCGTCAAATACACCGATTAAAACCTTAGGGTTTGTAGTACCTTATCCCATTTTACTGAATTGTATCCACTTATCAGCTTATCTCCTAGCTATCGTTAATGTGCAAGTCTACTAATCTTTCACTTATAATTTCACTTATAATTGTATCCATAAACAAGCTTGATGATCATATAGGTGCTGCAAGTGAAGAACTAGATACGTCATCTTCTACCTCTGTTGGAGCAAATGATTTGCTTATTGTTGGACCAGGTGTTCTTGGTCGCCTAGTTGCAGAAAAATGGCGAGAGGTGAGAATGAGATCAAGAAATGTTAAAATTTACTATACAATCTAGCATAGATCATACTCCACTTGTTGCTTCTTTGTTTCACTTTTTTCTAAGTTGATTAAAATCTCAAATTGCTCGAAGAACTTGTAGTTCTTTTGGAAGTGATGTCAATGGGACAGAAATTGAAATCCTTTCTCTCACCCAAAACTATGTAACATTTCCTTGTCTGTGTAAAAGACATAAATACCCTCCCCATCCTAAATGTTAGATTCTGATGACAGGAACACCCAGGATGCCAAATCACTGGGGAGACAGTTACTACTGATCACCATGAAGAGCTTATTAAAATTGGGATCAATCCAACATTGAAGGGAGTTAAATGGGATCATAAGTTCCCTTATGTGATCTTTTGTGCCCCACCTTCTAGAAGCTCAGACTATGCTAGTGATGTTGGGTAATGAATTGAATGACAACTTTACCCCTTCAAAGTATTGAAAATTACTAAAAAAAACTTGGATATTAAACACACAGGGAAGCTGCATCACTTTGGAATGGAGAAGGTTCTTTCTTGTTTACTTCAAGCTCAGCACCATATGATAGATATGATAATGGACAATGCTATGAGGTGCTTACTTTACTTTACTTCTATCTTATTTTAGTTTTTTTATATTTTTACATAAGTATTATAATTCGTTAATAGTTTTTTTTTTTTTTTTTGAATATAGGATAGTCCAGTAGTACCAATAGGGAGGAGTCCAAGGACAGATGTTCTTTTGAAAGCAGAGAAGATTGTTTTAGATGGTGGTGGTTGTGTTGTTAGGTTGGCTGGACTTTACATATCCTTTTGCACTCCTTAAAATAAATGCAAGAAATAGCAACGTACTTTCATTGATTTGTTTATTATAGCATAATTGTGTTTTTTTTTTTTCTTTTTCTGATTAAACCTCAAATTTATTTTTTGCCTGAAAAAGACAATGTATTTTTTCATTTTTTCCGAAAAAGCCCTCAACTTTGTATTTTTTTTCGAAAAAAAAAACCCTCAACCTTCTAAATGTGTCCAAATAAACCCTCCACTTTTTTAGTTTTTCTCGAAACAACCCTCCGATTTTACAATTTTTTTTTTGGAAAAAATGACTAAAAAGGCAAAATCGGAAAAAATGAAAAAATACAAGGGCTTTTTCAGGCAAAAAATAAATTTGAGGTTTAATTTAAAAAAAAAAACACAAAATATAAGGTCTTTTCTGAGATTAACCCCAAAAAATGGTAAAATTCGAGTGTTTTTTCATGAAAAACTAAAAAAGTTGATGGTTTATTTGGAAGCATTTAGAAAATTGAGGGTTTTTTTTTTGGAAAAAATGAAAAAAATTACAAGGTAATTTTCATTAAAAAAAATAAAGTTGAGATTTAATCTGGAAAAAACTCAAAATATAAGGTATTTTTTTAGATTAACCCGTGTTTTTATGACCTTTTTTTTTTTTTTCTAATCGGAACATTATACTTTGATATTTTTAATATTTTTTTCCTTATTATACTTTGAAAATTCCACCTAATTATGGAAGTGAAGTTTGCTTTGTATTTTGATGACATGGGTATATAATTGTTATGCAATTATGTAATAAGAAGAAATCAAAGCAGGATGCTAATTAAAAAATCAATGAAAATACATTTGCTTTTTCTTGACTTTAACCCCTTCCAAAATTCAAGAAATAACAATTTACTTTCATTTATCTGTGTTTTAATCTTTTCCTCATAAATGAAAATCTACATCATCATATTTCACTTCTTTTTCTTATCAAGACTTTATACTTTAACAAATCTACCCAATTGCTATCTTTGGGTAAAATTTTGTAACACAAATAAACAAAATTACATTGCTGTTTTTAGCATTTAATTTATTTCAAAATTCATAGATGAATCTATATATAACTCAAATCTCAATTCTTAACTCCTTTAGCACAAAGCAGATAGAGGAATGCATTTGTATTACTTAAAACAAGGAACTATTGAAGCTAATCCTCATCACCTTGTCAATCTCATTCATTATGAGGTCTCTCTCACATTATTTTATAATTTTATACTGTTAATTACAAACAATACTTTCATTCTGATTTCTTTTTTTTTTTTTCATTATGGTTATTAAAGGATGCTGCCTCCCTCTCAGTTGCAATTTTGAAAAAGAAAGTAAAAAATCGGCTATTTTTGGGTTGTGATAATCATCCTGTTTCAAGGTTTGTTGTATAATTAATAAAAGTTTCTCCATATTTGTAGATGGAATTGGAATATTTTTTAAACTAAAAAACTTGATTTATCAGACAAGAAGTAATGGACTTGGTTGCTAAGAGTGGAAAATTCGATCCCACCTTTATGGGCTTTACTGGTAAGTTAACAAATATGATTGCTTACATCTAAGTTTTTTTTTTTTTTTTTTTGGGTTAAAGTAAATGACCATTTTACCCTTTTGAGCTGAAAACATAGGCACGGATGGT